ACGGGTCGAAGTGGACCGGTCTCGAGGGCTGGGGTGGCCGGATGTGGCGGCGGGACGGTGATTTCCATCTCGGTGAACAGTACTGATGCGAACCAGAGAGAGAGAGCACGTGGGAGAGAGAGAGAGAGAGAGAGAGAGAGAGAGAGAGAGAGTTTTCAGATTTTATTAAAAACCCATTTTGAAATATTTACGATTATGCCACTGAAGGAATTTTGATCGTATCTCTCTCGTCACAACTCCGATTCGAGCCCACTACATGTCTACGGACTCATCTCGCCATGCTCTACGCAACGGTACTGTTGAAATTTCCAAATTCCATCCCGATCAAAAAGTCAACTCTAAACCTCACAAAATAATCTAAGGGCAAAATGGTCCTTTTATCTGAATAAATTAATATGCACCAATTTATTTACGACCGGGTCGTTACAAATAATCCCTATACTTTAGGGACAAGCATGTATTTCTGTTTTAATGTAGTCTCTACCACGATTATAGGACCTGTAAAATCATGGGCTGTTGCATTTTCTTTTAGTTCAAGTGTAAGGCTATTTAATAGCCATGTTAGATGTCTTTCATTAATAAGAATTCTCGTTAGCTTATGTAAGCTCTGTATTACAGAAGCTCTTTGTAACTTCCTGATTGTAACATCTGGTATCAGAGCTATGCTACAGGGCCTGATCAAAAGCTTGCAATCTAAGTGCTAGAGTGAAGAAACAAAAACATGGCGTCTAAGAATAGTTTCGTGCAACCAGCCATTCCAAGGTTTGATGGACACTCCGACCATTGGAGTATGCTAATGGAGAACTTCCTTCATTCCAAAGAGTATTGGAACCTGGTGGAGATTGGGATCACTGCTGCAATAGGGGGATCGGATTCCAGTGAAGCACAGAAGAATATTTTAGATGAATTGAAGCTGAAGAATTTGAAGGCCGAGAACTATTTGTTCCAAGCCATAGATCAGTCAATATTGGAGACCATTCTGAAGAAGGATACCGCGAAGGATATATAGGACTGCACGTGTCAAACGTGCTCAATTACAGGCTTTTTGCAAGGAGTTTGAGGTACTGCACATGAAGAATGGAGAAACAGTCAATGACTATTTTGGGAGAACACTTACCATAGCCAACAAGATGAGAACTCACGAGAAGAAGATGGATGATATGGTGGTCATTGATAAAATTTTGAGGTCCATGACTTCAAAATACGATTATGTTGTCTGTTTGATTAAGGAATCTAATGACCTGGACATCCTATCTATAGATGAACTCCAGAGTAGCCTTCTCATGCACGAGCAAAGAATGAGTCGACATGTGGTGGATGAACAAGCACTCCTAGTCACTTATGGAGTCTAGCAAGGAGGACGAGGTTGAGGAACTTATCGAGGAAGAGGAAGAGGATGGGGTAGGCAAGGGTTCGACAAGTCAACCTTAGAATGCTATAATTGCCATGAACTAGGGCACTTTCAGTGGGAGTGTCCTAGGAAACCTAAAAAAGAGAAAGCAAACTATATGGAGACAAAGGAAGAGATGATGTTGATGGCACTTGTGGAATCCAAAGAGGCAGCAATGCAGCGCATATGGTTTCTCAACTCTGGGTGCAGCAATCATATGTGTGGCAAGAAAGAAATGTTTGGTGAGCTTGATAGCAGTTTCAAAGAATCCGTGAAGTTGGGAAACAATTCGAGTTTGATTGTGCAAGGCAAGGGAAATGTGCAAATGGAGGTGAATGGCATTATACATGTGATCATAGGTGTTTTTTACATACCAGATTTGCAAAAAAATTTGTTAAGCATTGGTCAGTTGCAAGAGAAGGGACTTACAGTACTTATCCAACATGGAAAGTGCAAGATCTTTCACTCAAAAAGAGGTTTAATCATGGAGACCAAGATAAGCCACAATAAAATGTTTGCAGTGTTGGCCGGCTATTCAACAAAGGAACAAAAGTGTTTTTCCTCACTCACCATAGATCAAGCACAACTTTCGCACTATCGCTATGGGCATCACAATTGGAATGGGCTTAAAGTGCTTCAACAGAAGCAAATGGTGGAAGGATTGCCTCAGTTCACAGCCTCTCAAAGGGTGTGTAAGATTGCTTGGTAGGAAGATAGCACCGAGATCCATTTCCCAAAGAAAGCTTATGGATAGCTTCCAAGGTACTTTAGTTGGTGCATGCTGACATCTGCGGACCAATTAACCCTACTTCGAACAGTAATAAAAGGTATCTCATCACCTTTATAGATGATTTTAGCATAAAAACATGGGTCTACTTCTTAGTAGAGAAGTCAGTGTAGGGGTCTTTTTGTTCCAGTAGCCTGACGAATGGGCTTGGGCTGCCGTAACAAGAAAAGAAACAAAATTCCCCAAGTGTCCAAGTTCAAAAACCAAGCTCCCAAAAGAGTTTTTGAAAAGTCTGATGAAACTTTAGAAAAACACTCTTAGGTTCTTTTCACCAATAGCCAAATAAACACGATAAATCGATTAATGGCTTAGCTTGAGGAGCTTGTGGCATGGGAGCTAAGCTTTCACAGGTTTAGCAATTTGAGAGAGAGAGAGAAAGAGAGAGAAGCATGAATTTCTTACAGAGAACAAGGGTTTAGAGTGGGCAGAGGAAGATTAGAACGATTTCTATCCTAAGGGAAGAAAAAAAACAAGCGAGGAAGAAGATTGGGTGGCTTAAGTAAATTCTCAGATGCTTGACAAAGCTTGGTTAGGCTCTGGATGTTGATTTTGCTGGGTAGGAGAAGCTCTTTTTTATAGGCATGAAGAACCCTAATTTTATCTAGTCTTCTTCTCCCCTTTTCCTTTGCTCCTCCCTACTCAATCTTATTTGGTGAAATTCTCATATCCAAGGCGCATGGGTAGGAACCCTTTGTGGTTCCTAGGGTTAGAGGCAGCTGGACCTCCCCATGAGGGTGAGGTGCCACCCACTTTCTTTATGGGTTTTCAAGATTGAGCTTACAAAGGAAAAGAGAGATGGGTGGAGTTCTTTGTCCGATGGGTATTCGTCCTTCACACATGGATTTCCGTTGGTTCCTGCCATGGCTCTTTATTTGACCGTCTTGGAGTTCTAACAAGGATGGAGCATAATGCCAGATTTTTTATAAGGCTTTGGGCTAGGCTTGTGTGTACAGTGTTGGGTTATTAGCATGTTATCTCCAGCATCTAATGGGTTTTCGTCAAGCTGTGAAGCAAATGGTGGAAGGATTGCCTCAGTTCACAGCCTCTCAAAGGGTGTGTAAGATTGCTTGGTAGGAAGATAGCACCGAGATCCATTTCCCAAAGAAAGCTTATGGATAGCTTCCAAGGTACTTTAGTTGGTGCATGCTGACATCTGCGGACCAATTAACCCTACTTCGAACAGTAATAAAAGGTATCTCATCACCTTTATAGATGATTTTAGCATAAAAACATGGGTCTACTTCTTAGTAGAGAAGTCAGTGTAGGGGTCTTTTTGTTCCAGTAGCCTGACGAATGGGCTTGGGCTGCCGTAACAAGAAAAGAAACAAAATTCCCCAAGTGTCCAAGTTCAAAAACCAAGCTCCCAAAAGAGTTTTTGAAAAGTCTGATGAAACTTTAGAAAAACACTCTTAGGTTCTTTTCACCAATAGCCAAATAAACACGATAAATCGATTAATGGCTTAGCTTGAGGAGCTTGTGGCATGGGAGCTAAGCTTTCACAGGTTTAGCAATTTGAGAGAGAGAGAGAAAGAGAGAGAAGCATGAATTTCTTACAGAGAACAAGGGTTTAGAGTGGGCAGAGGAAGATTAGAACGATTTCTATCCTAAGGGAAGAAAAAAAACAAGCGAGGAAGAAGATTGGGTGGCTTAAGTAAATTCTCAGATGCTTGACAAAGCTTGGTTAGGCTCTGGATGTTGATTTTGCTGGGTAGGAGAAGCTCTTTTTTATAGGCATGAAGAACCCTAATTTTATCTAGTCTTCTTCTCCCCTTTTCCTTTGCTCCTCCCTACTCAATCTTATTTGGTGAAATTCTCATATCCAAGGCGCATGGGTAGGAACCCTTTGTGGTTCCTAGGGTTAGAGGCAGCTGGACCTCCCCATGAGGGTGAGGTGCCACCCACTTTCTTTATGGGTTTTCAAGATTGAGCTTACAAAGGAAAAGAGAGATGGGTGGAGTTCTTTGTCCGATGGGTATTCGTCCTTCACACATGGATTTCCGTTGGTTCCTGCCATGGCTCTTTATTTGACCGTCTTGGAGTTCTAACAAGGATGGAGCATAATGCCAGATTTTTTATAAGGCTTTGGGCTAGGCTTGTGTGTACAGTGTTGGGTTATTAGCATGTTATCTCCAGCATCTAATGGGTTTTCGTCAAGCTGTTGGAAGTGTTTTTGACAAAGTGTTTGGGTGCTCTAATTAATATAAGGTTTCCTAAACAATCTATTGTGCTCTTTCTAAGGCATTGGGTTATGTTCTCTCTCTCATGCTAACCCATGTATTTGGGCCCGAGGAATGAGCTTGAGTTTTAATGCTCCTAAGTGGCTTAAAACCTTCACTCCTCGAACCCTCAATGGGCCCTGTGATTACTTGTTCCCTTCCATATCATAACCTTCTCAGCAAGCCCCAAGTAATTTTGTGGCTTGGACCCACTTAAGCTTGGCGTTAGAACAGTGGCTCTTCTTGCATGACACTTATGCTTGTGCTTGAGTTTTATTATGTCGTGATAGGCTATAATCAGGCCAAGTAACACCGAATGGGTATGTGAGCGTGATTTTGTAAAGTTGGCATGCTCTTGGCCCTTTTGCACGTGCTTGCTTTGCATAACACATGGCCCGTAACTTGCATTGGTGCGTCCTACAAATTCTCTTTTGTCCCGATTGGACTTCTTTTGTGTTCAATTATCTGTGTTGGGCCAAGAATTAATCTGGGCTTAGCCCCTTAGATTTTTGGGCCTCAACAGTCAGAAGCATTTGGTACATTCAAATCCTACAAAGCACAGGTAGAGAAAGAAACTGGGGCATTTATAAGAAGCCTGAGGACAGATCAAGGAGGAGAGTTCACCTCACATGAGTTTACAAATTTTTGTCATGAGAATGGGATTCATCGGCAGCTAACAACAGCCTATATTCCCTAATAGAACGGTGTTGAAGAAAGAAAGAATCGCACCATTATGAACATGGTGCGAAGCATGTTGTCAGCAAAACAAATTCCCAAAACCTTTTGGCCTGAAGCAGTAAATTGGACAGTGCATGTGTTGAATCGATGCTCTACCTTTGCCATGAAGAACAAGACACCTAAGGAGGCTTGGAATGGACACAAACCATTTGTCGATCATTTCAGAATTTTTGGTTGCTTTGCTCATGTTCACGTACCTAATACCAAAAGGGTGAAGCTTGATGCCAAGAGCTGTAAGTGCATACTACTTAGGGTAAGTGAGGAATCTAAGGCTTATCGATTGTTTGATCATGTTTTACAGAAAGTAATTATAAGTCGAGATGTTGTGTTTGAAGAGGATCAACAATGGAGTTGAAATGACAGTCACAAGGAAGCTATATTGGCAGATCTTAAGTGGGATACAGATGAAGAAAATAGCACAATAAGGGAGGAAAGTGGACTCGAATCTGGAATTGATGAAGTTGTGGGAGAGACTGAATGCGAGACTGACAGTGGCTCATTGATTGAAGAAAACATTCAACTAGACGAGATCTCACCTCGTATGGAACGAATTCAAAGACCACCAATTTGGATGAGAGATTATGAAACAGGTCATGACCTATCTGATGATGAGAGTGCTAGCATGGCTCACCTGACATTATTAATTAATCAAGATCCCACGACCGTTGAAGATGCTGTAAAGTCTGAAAAATGGAGACAAGCTATGGATTAGAGGTGTCAAACGGGGCGTGCCGGGCCGGCCCGTCCCATTTAAACTCGTGCTTTTAAGGTTTTCGTGCCGTGTTGGGACTGCCCATTTAATTTATCGGGCCGTGCCGTGCCGGCCCATTTAGTAAAATCATTTATCCTAGCCCAGCCCAAAGCCCATGTCCACATTGAAACGGGCCAGGTCGTGCTCGTGTCGTGCCCGTGCTCATGCTCATGCCATACTCGGGCCCAAGAACCAACCCATTTAATTTGAAGTTTTTTCACTTGATTTATTTTTTTTTCACTTGATAATTCAAATTATAAACATTAAAAATATAATTAGAGGCAAGAAATGATGAATTATTTGAAAACATTAATCAATCAAACATCCAAACAATATAAAAGGCGGAGGGCAAAAAGTGTACAACTCCACAAAGTCCACTTCAACTTTTCATCTTTAAACAACTTATTATAAGAGAAGCGTATATGTCATATGTACTTATTAGATATCAAGTCCAATGTTGTTAAATTAATTTGTAGCTGATATGTTTAATTAATTAAGGATCCAAGAAATTTCCCTAAAATGAAAGACATCAAAATATGTTTATGATTATAAAAAATAAAAACCATATAAACAATGATATTAGATGTCGAATTTTTGCATTTTGACATTTGAGAAAGAAAAAAAAAGTTAAGTGGACCATGCTTGGGCCGTGCTTGAAGCGGGCTCAGGCCAAGCCCAGCCCATGTCGGGCCATGGGCTGGCCTGATCCATTGTACCTCATTTTTTATCCCGGCCCAGCCCAAGTTTTCGTACCGTGCTGAGCACGGCCCATTACTATTCATGCTCGTGCTGTGCCGTGCCTCATTTAAACGCGATGGGCTCGTGCTGTGCTGGGCCAGCCCGTCCCATTTGACACCTCTGCTATGGATCAAGAGATACAAGCCATCGAAAAGAACAATGCGTGGGAACTAATGAAGCTGCCACCAAGAGGGAAAACTATTGGAGTGAAGTGGGTGTTTAAAACGAAGCTCAATAAGAAAGGGGAAGTGGGCTGTTGAGCCTAGTCTTAACAACTAAAATGAGTTATTAAAAACAGCAACTTTAATTCTCGCAAGTGCACAAACCGTTTATAATAGAGCTTATGTAAATACGAGGTCGATCCCACGGAGAATGGTAACTTGGTTCCAAGTTAAATTACTTAGAATGCTAGAAAAATATAAAACAAAGAAACTGACTAACTAGCTAAAGGCAAGGTCGAATTCAACAATGCCTCTTGCTAATTACTCAAGGTCTAGGACAGAATCCTAGCACCACACACGTACTCGAAATGGGGGGTTTTGTTGTTGAAATGAAAAGAAGAATGTGAAATGAAAGTGCTCGAAATCAACACGTGATCTCTATTATGCAACCTAAGCATGGTATCTACTTAGAATAAAGCATACAATAGTCATTAAGCTCCTTGAGAATATGATAATCACACAAGTCCTAGAACATGGTATCTGTCCTAGTCAATCTATGGTTATTAACCCCTTGAATGATTCTTAGGCCATTCATTTGTTGCTTGTGAAAGGAGAGTAGAATTGGTGAATCTAAACCCCTTCCCAACCTGTGCTAGATGCATAAAATCTTAGTTAGCTACTCCAAGAAAACATACATCAAGCACATAATAAACTAGAGATTAACAACTTGGTAATGAAAGCAAGGAAATCAATTAACTATAAAATCATCATAACATTGAATATTCATGACTAGGGCTTCATCCTAAGCCCTAACTAAATGGGTTAGTTAGACATAACTATGAGTACAGAAAATAAGAAATACATAGATAGGATAAAGAGAGGAGAAGAACTAGATGATGGCAGCAAGGAATTCCCAGGACAGCTCCAGCTCTCTTCTCTCTTTGTGGTGAATCTGAATGTGTGTTTGAGAGTAATGGATTAAGTGAATGTGTGTGTCTGCCTATCTTCATTGAATGAGTGAGCAGCTTTCTATTTATAGAGAGAAATTTCGTCCTCCCCTTTGGCTGGTGAAGCACACCTCTCTTAGCTGCTCCCAACTGCTCCCTTCTGCCCATACATGCCACTTGCTCCAGCTGCCCATACTTGCCAACTGCTCCAGCTACCAAATACATGCTTTGGTATGGTTTCTTTATGGAAAGCTTGACTTTTGTTCATCTTTCTGAGTTCCTGAGCTGATTTGACTCCCATGTATGGCTGCCCATGCTTAGCACATGGCTCCAGGGATGTAGATGTGATGGCAGCCAATCATGATATTTCTGTGAACTTTGTTCAGTTTTTGACGTGTTGAGGGCTCCAGATTTATCCAATTAGGCTGAAATTTGGATATGTTATAATAGACACCCATTGGAACAACTTCTATCAAGGATGTCTCCTCATCGGACCTATGTAAGTTGCTGAAATGAGGATTGCAAGATGACCCACGAACCTGGACTGACAAGGAGTGTGGCCCAAATTGGGTTTGTCCTTAAGCTCATATTCCTCTTATCCCAATCAGCCCTTATCAAGCATGGATTGCATCAAATGTGATCTTTTGCTGTCTTAACCTACAAAACACACAAACATAGGTAAGAGACTCAAAATAAAGAGAAGCTAAACAAAATTACTAAGCAGAGAAGGCATGCAAATGTGTGAAATTATGACCTTATCATGGGCAAGTACAGAGCACGACTAGTTGCTAAGGGCTACTGTCAACAATATGGAATAGACTATGCAGAGGTATTTGCACCAGTGGCTCGCCTAGATACCATTCAAATTGTCATTTCCCTTGCTGCTCAAAAGAATTGGGTGATCTACCAACTAGATGTCAAGTCCGCATTTTTGCATGGGGAGATCAATGCAGAGGTGTTTGTTGATCAACCACCTGGATATGAACAGAATGGGCATGAGACAAAGGTTTATCGACTCAAAAAGGCTCTATTTGGACTTAAACAGACCCCCTGAGCCTGGTATAGTCGTATAGAGTCATATTTCATCAAGGAGGGATTCAACAAGTGCCCTTATGAGCATACTTTGTTCATTAAGACAACAGAAGGAGGTAAGATCTTGATAGTATGTCTTTATGTTGATTATCTCATTTATACTGGTAATGATGCAACGATATTTGAACAATTTAAGAAGTCAATGATGGTTGAGTTCGACATGACAGACCTTGGAAAAATGAGATATTTCCTTGGCATTGAAGTGATACAAGGTTCTGATAGGATCTTTATCAGTCAACGAAAGTATGCTCAAGAGATCTTGGAGAGATTCAACATGGCTCAATGTAATTCAGTACTCAACCCCGTGGTTCCTGGTTTTAAGCTCACAAAGGATGAAGGAGGAATCGAAGTTGATAGCACTGTTTACAAACAAATGGTGGGAAGCCTAATGTATCTAACAAGCACACGTCCTGATTTAATGTTTATTGTTAGTTTGGTCAGTCGATACATGGAGAGTCCAACTGAGGCTCACTTGCTGGCAGCAAAAAAAGCTCTAAGGTATGTAAAAAGGACTCTTGATTTGGGGATATTCTACAAGAATGGAGGAAAGGATGAGCTTATTGAGTATACAGACAGTGACATTGTTGGTGATCAAGATGATAGGAAGAGCACCTCATGTTATGTGTTTATATTAAGTTCAGGTGATGTTTCTTGGTCCTCAAAGAAACAGCATGTTGTCACTTTATCCACCACTGAAGCGGAATTCATAGCAGTAGCATCGAGTGCATGCCAAGTTGTATGGTTAAGAAGGATCTTGAAGAGTCTTAATCAGGAGCAATATTGTCCAACCTCGGTGTATTGTGATAATGTTTCAACGATCAAACTCTCAAGGAATCCTGTGACGCATGGTCGCAGCAAGCATATTGATATAAGGTTTCATTTTCTTTGAGACTTGGTCAAGAGTGAAGTTTTAGAGTTGGTGCAGTGTTCAACTCAGGAACAAATTGCAGATGTCTTAACAAAACCATTGAAGGTCGATACGTTTCTGAAGATGCGAGATTTGATGGGTGTTTGCAAGTTTCCAGGAGTAAACTGAATACATGTGGTATTTAGTTTAAGGGAGGATGTTGAAGTTGTTGGAATCTCTAGTTGTTACTGATAAAGTTTACTGCTAAGATTCCTAGTTTTTAGGGTTGTTAATCACGTAGGAGTCCAATAATCCCTATACTTGAGGGACAAGCATGTATTTCTGTTTTGATGTAGTCTCTACCACGATTATATGACCTGTAAAATCGTGGGCTGTTGCATTTTCTTTTAGTTCAAGTGTAAGGCTATTTAATAGCCATGTTAGATTCCTTTCATTAATAAGAATTCTCGTTAGCTTATGTAAGGTCTGTATTACAGAAGCTCTTTGCAACTTCCTGATTGTAACAGGTTACGTGGCTTTGTGTAGACTAATCGGCCTTAGCTCCATCTTAGATTGGTAACATGCATGTTTGCCGACATCACCAAGTCCACCGACAAGTTTGTGGCTTTGTCTAGAGAATTCCACAACATTCAATCATAATGCACCACAAACTGAATTCAACCTACTAGCAAATTTATGATGGGTTGCAAACAACAAATTGAATTCAACAAACATCTGGTCATATTTTGTGCGTTCTCAACACAAACACTTTACTCTGTGTGTGTGTGTGCGCGCCTATTTTTTTTACTAATAGATGGAGTTCCACTTTCATTGTTTGATGGTGGGCTTGGTTTTGGACGTGGGGTTGGGTTGGAAAAGAAAAAATAAAACAAAGAAAATGTAAAATTTTACATATATGATGCGTTTGGCACTCGTATAGAGACAGAGATTGGTCTTGCAAGAGGTGTTATTACGTGTTTGACATTTGGTAGAAAATTTTGAGAGAGATATGATGTTCGTATATGTGGCTTTACGTTTATAAGATGAGTTTTTGGCTTGACGTGATCGATGAAGGTACATCAAGATTGTATTGGGCCGAAATGGAGTCCACCTACAAGCCCATATCCAATTAACGAATTCAAACTTTTCCTACCCTCCAAAACGCGATGAAACAACCGCCGTTGGATCACCGTCCGATGGTTGATCAAACTTCCAACGCAATCTACTTCTTGAAGACGCTTCAAATACAACCCCAAAGCTTCCTTCTTGGCCATCAGCTTCCAGCGTAAGCTACTTCTCCAAAACGCTTAAATAAATACAACCACAAATCCTCTCTCTCTCTCTCTCTCACTCAATCATTTCTGACTTTTCTCTCTCAGAAAAGAGAGCTGACCACTGAGAAAACAAACAAAAACCGCTTTCGCTTCCACTCGCTCAGAATCAGAACCTCCCAACTTTCCCGCCAAAAGTCTTGCCCTTCGCATTTCACACTGCCCTTGCTTAAAACGAGCTCGGTATTCTTTCTGCTTTCTGTAATTTTGGCGGTTAGATTCTCACACACTCAGAAACCCTCGAAGCTTTCTTTTTCAAGGTTCGGATTTTAATTTTGTGGTTTTAAGTTTCTTGCATTATCCTTATTTTTGTGTTTGCTTTGGTTCGATTATGTGATTCATTGTGTAATTGGTGATGGTTCATTTTGCAATTCATTGAAATTTCTGCTGCTCTGTTTGGTTGGTGAGAAAATGTGGGAAAATATGAGAAAAAATTGTCGCTTTTTCATTATACTCACTCAAATTACTGGCTTTGATGCAATTGTGAGATCAATTTGCGCTTTTAGTTTTCCTTCAATTAGTTTGTTTTCTCAGGAACCAAACAGAATGTTGAATTTTCTAGTACGATCAAAACTTTAACTTTAACTGATTTAGGGCTTGTTTTCTGCTTGTGATATGTTCAAGGTTGAGGAAAACTGATTTTTCTAAGAGATCATGGCGAAAGTGAAAAAGGAGAAGCTGCAGGAGGTGGTTGTGGATCCATACGAGAAAATGGGTTTCCTTTTGCAAGCATTATATGAAACTGAAGGCTGTTTTGACTCCCCTGCGTCCAAGCCAAGCTCTGCTACTCGGTATGTTGCTTCAATTAACTTTTTACATGAAAGGAGCATATTTATGATGACATCTGATTCTTCAATTAACCTTTTTCCTCATATTACTTGGTTATGCCTTATCGCCATTTGAGTTAATTTTTTCTTTGGTCATGAGTTTTCTGGTTTTGGGTAAATGCTTAATTTGATATTTTACTGTGATGAATGGTCTGCTTTGCTGTTCTAGGAGAGCCACTGGTCCGATGAGACGGTCAGCGAAATGCTGGACAGAGGAAGAGGTCAGTAGTGAAAATTCCTTAGTTTGGTAGTTCTGTAATGCTAGTTTAGCATGTAAGTTTTAAGATACATTGTTAATGAAGAAGGAAATACTGAAGTTCTTATATTTATAATGTTGGTTTAGTCTACGTGGAGGCTTTATTTTAGTCTCCTCAGCTGCTCAGAAATTATTCAGTTTTTTAATCAATTGCCTTGTCTTGTTGTTATGGCAGGACGATCTTCTAGGAGAGCTGGTCAGAAAGTTTAACAAGAGTAATTGGAAGGAAATAGGTGGGCATGCCACTGTCTTTCTGTTGGTTTTCAAAAGTGTGCTTTTAGTTTTATGAAAGTTGCCTGATGCAAAGTTTGTGATTTGATTGCTTCCTTATGTCCTGCAGCTTCATGTCTCCCTGGGCGCACAGATGTTCAGTGCCTGCAGCGCTGGCAAAAGGTTCTAAATCCTGAAATTGTGAAGGGACCCTGGACAAAGGAGGTGCAAACATAACACTCTTGCATGCTTTTATAACAATGGGGAAATCATGCTTTTACTTTATGCTAAACTGATATGTGATCATGGTTTATTTGTTCCTTTATCTGGATTTCAGGAAGACGACTGCATAATCAAACAAGTTGAGAGTCATGGTGCTAAAAGATGGTCTGTTATTGCAAAGTTCTTACCAGGTCGAATGGGCAAGCAATGCCGAGAAAGGTAGGCAGCAACGAGTTCTAGTCAGTGCATCAAACTTTTGGCATCAAGTACCATTTAATCAACATATGTTCTGCAAATCTATGGTTCACATCCTTTGTGTTTTGTAATAGTTAGCTATGCAGATTATATACTAGACAATAATGAAGTTAATAATTACTTTCAGGTGGTACAATCACTTATGCCCGGCTATAAATAGAAATGCATGGACAGAAGAAGAGGAGTGGGTTCTTACTTACTACCACCAACTCTTTGGTAACAAGTGGGCAGAAATAGCCAGGTTTCTACCTGGAAGGTATGCAATAACTGAAAGCTGATGGGATGAAAGTATGATTGTGTTTTTTGGTATATGATGAATTCATTAATTGAAGACTGACCAACATATTTTGGGAACTTGAACATATATGTACATGGTTTTTTTTCGTGTGATTGTATGTGGTGCAAATGAGGTAAAAATCTGGATTATTTATCTCTTGTATAGGGATTAATATATTAAATAGGTCAAAATTTGGATTTTAGACATGCACTCTTTGTGTACTATTTGCTGGTGCAGATACAGTTTACTATGAACATATATAAATCATTAATGATTGTGTAATTTATGTTTATTAACACAATTCAAATGGGGAGATTGGCTCCTTCTGTTGAATGCACTCACTCATCTCATCTGTATTGAAATTGGCAGGACTGACAATGGAATTAAAAATCACTGGAACTGCACACTGAAGAGAAAATTAGATTCATACTCACCTAATGGTTGTGATGTGGATATGCATCCTTATGTCTGGAACGGTGAATTAAGATCGGGCCATGTCGAGATTAACCCAGCCGGACAGATTTCTGATAGACTGGCCTCACTCAATCAGAGAACAGGGTTGGAGATTGGTGATAGCGCTTGCTCTACAAAGTTGACTCTTGGATGTTCTTATAGACATGAACTTTGTTCAGAATGGAAACCTGTCAAAGTGCAGAAATGCAGATCATCAGATAGAGGAGCAAATAGTTTGACAAATCTAATCACAAGTGGATCTTCCAAACACAGCCCTTTATCAGCCTCTTCATTGGTTTTCGTGGGTGCATCTACTTCTACCAGGTCCTCCCCCCATGAGAGTCCATCCTGCTACTCTACACCCCAAAGCCGTGCGCAGAATGTTAATGTGAATCTCAGCAGTGGCAGCAGTCCTGGGTCGAGACTGAAGAACTTGGCATTGAGTTTCAAAAATACTCCTTCCATCATAAGAAAGAGAAGTTCCAGAAGACCTGATGCTTCTTCAGCTGCCGTTAAATCTCTAGGAAGGTGCCTGGAACGTGAATTCGACGCCGAAAACCATTCAGGTGTTACTAAATGTGGCCAACTTTTCTCTGCATATGCTACTTCATCAGACGTTAACGTTGGTGCATAGGTTAACCTTGACACTTTTGGAGGAAGCCAAATTTCCACGGTTCAAATTTTTGCCCAAAATGGATGTGTGAAGGAGTTAATTTCTTTCATTTCAGTTGTTCAAACTCTCCCCCGTTCTGAGTAAGTAGTTGTAGTTTAGGTCACTTAAGGTAGTGTGCTCGTACTTTGCATCCGAGTTCTATTCCACTCTTTGTACATTAGACTAGCTTGAAACATTGCTTTGTCAAATAAAAAATGTTCCTAAATCTAAAAGTCCTCTATCTCCTCATTCCCCAAAAAGGAAAAGCCAAAATTCCCATATTTATTTATTAATTATCATTATATTCCAAAAAGATTTATAGGATACGATATTCGGCACGCCAACCAAACCATGTCAAATTCGTTCGTTACAAACTTTACAAAAAAAATATCGCTTTCAAAATAAAAAAATAAAAAATAAAAAGGAAAAGCAATTTAAGGAAAACAAAAATATCCAAATTCGCTGGAAAAACAGAAATTGGATAGACCACGTCAGAGTCTAATCACACCCATTTCAAATCCGCAAACCTCGACCTCGCAAGCTACCAATACCACCACTGGCACTGCGAGTACGAAACGCGCTTTACTCGCGCGACTGCAACCGTCACAGCTCCGCCATAACAGAAAAGGAAAGATCTATTAAAAACGCGCCAAGCAAAACAAACTGTACTGATTCCATATATTCTCTCTACTCACCTCAACTGAACTTCTCACCCTTTTCAATTTTTTTCTCATTTTTATCTTCTTTTTTTGTTTTTTTTTCGGTGTTTATCATCAATCACGTAATTCAATTATTCATTCTTATCCAATTCCCCAATCAACTGAATTTTCCCCCTTTTTCTTTTATATATATATATATAGTATAATAATCTCATAAATTCCAATTCAAATTCACATTTCTTCTTCCCTTTCTTGCTTATCCGAAATTCCCAAACGACCCTCCTTGATTCGCTCTCTCTCTCTCTCTGTGAGTTAGTTTGTGGTGAGTGTGTGAGGAGGAGGCAGGAGCATGGGGTCTATGGAGCAGACGATTCTGGTGACCGGCGGGGCGGGGTTTATTGGGAGCCACACGGTGGTTCAGCTTCTCGAAGCAGGGTTTAGGGTTTCCATCCTTGATAATCTTGACAATTCCGTCATTGAAGCTGTTGATCGCGTTCGGGACTTGGTCGGCCCTAAGCTCTCTCAGAAGCTCCAGTTTCATTTGGTATATCGCTATCCTCGCTTTCACTTGTTCATTGGCTATGGCCGCTTCTCTTTTTCTTCTTTTCCTTGTCTTTTTGCTCTTTTTCTTGTTTAGTGGACTTGCTGCTTTGGCTTTACGCTGCTCTGTTTGGTTCCCTAGATAATTTTAAAATTGGAGAAGAAAATTTTGATTTCTTGATGCTCTGTTACTTATTTTGGGAATTAGAGTGAAAGGGAATTTTGGATTCCTGATACTGTGCTTCGTTTCTTGAAATTAAGTTGAACATAGTTTTGCTCGGCTCAGTTGCTTTAGAATCGTCTCCAATTATTGCAATAAAATTCTTAGTTTCTTATAAGCCTAACACTGCGTTTTGTGTTTTCACTTTGGCCTCTTTCTCATTAATGCAATTCCTTATGCTTCTTTTTTTTGTGGTTGCAGGGTGATCTCAGACATAAGGACGATTTGGAGAGGCTGTTTTCTCAAACAAAGTGAGTAATTTTGTTAATTACATCATAGTATGTAATTACAACGTTCAAGTATTTTTGACTTTGCTGTTGGATTATAATGAGACAGATTTGATGCTGTGATCCACTTTGCTGGCCTGAAAGCTGTAGGAGAGAGTGTTGCTCACCCACGCCGTTATTATGATAATAATTTGGTTGGCACTATTAATCTCTATGAGGTCATGACAAAATACAACTGTAAAAAGGTTTGATCTCTCGACTTCTTTTTTTCTTTTTTCTTTTTTTTTCTGAGTTCTGCAGTTGGACCTCAAATTAGGTTCAGAGATTACTATTTTGTTTTCCATATGTTGGCAACCATGTGGAATGGAAACCAATGGAACTTGGACCAATGTTTTAAATGTTCATTCTTTCCTCCATGTGCCTGTGCTGGCGATTGGTTTCTCTCACTGTCTCTTATGCCCCAGTAAAACTAAATAGAAGTAAGGACAAAGTGGATTATAAACATACTGATGTTCTGAATTATTTGCTTCATTATTTAGAGAAAAGAAACTTATTTATTTTCTTCTTTTCTAAAGTACTTCTGGCGTTCATTTACTGTTGAACCTTCATAGAGGAATTGAGCATCTGAACATTGAGACATTGATTTTGTAAAATGTTCCCATGTTTCCCCCTACTAACATGATGAATATGATGTTGTGTGAGTGTAGATGGTTTTCTCATCATCTGCAACTGTGTACGGGCAACCTTCAAAAATTCCTTGTGTTGAGGATTTTGACCTTGTAGCTTTGAATCCATATGGCCGTACAAAGGTATACAACATATCTTCTTCCACAAAACATTGAATTAATGTTGAGTTAAAAATTAGATAGCTTTCTTTCTTTCTTCTCTAACATAGGATTTGCTCCATTTTACTAGCTTTTCCTTGAAGAAATTGCTCGAGATATACATATAGCAGACCCAGATTGGCAAATTATTCTACTGAGGTACTTCAACCCTGTCGGGGCTCATGAGAGTGGGCAAATTGGTGAAGATCCCAAAGGCATCCCAAACAACCTCATGCCTTACATACAGCAAGTAGCTGTTGGAAGATTGCCTGAGCTTAATGTTTATGGTCATGATTATCCCACCAAGGATGGTACTGCGGTATGTAAAATCCATCAAGATTGTTTTTCTTCAAGATGACTGGGTAGGATTGGCAAGAATTCACTTGGTCATTGACATCCAGTTACTAGTCCCGTGTTGAATTTATATTATATGGTTTTATATTTTACTCATAGAATCATCCTTCAGCATGCTGCTAATACACGACTTTCTTGTTAGTCTTATGCAATTGATTAAATCCACATGCTTTCCTAATTACCAGTTTTATTTTTCTCTTCATTATGCACAGATCAGAGACTACATTCATGTTATGGACTTGGCGGACGGTCATATTGCTGCTCTTCAGAAGCTTTTTACTACAGAGAATCTAGGTGATTGTTCTTATTATCTTGAGTGCCATGTTTCTGAATGAATCTATCATGTCAGAAATATTTGTGGTAATTTTCTTTGGCATTTGGTGTTCTAAATAGAATTTCATGTCTTAGGATGTGTTGCCTACAACCTGGGAACTGGACAAGGTACGTCAGTGCTTCAAATGGTTGCTGGCTTCGAGAAGGCTTCTGGCAAGGTGATTGTGCGATTCCTTCAAATCACTATCTCTTTCTTTTTCTCAATCAATTTTTCATTGTGGAACTTTTTCTTAATTGTGTATATCCCAGAAAATCCCCATCAAACTATGCCCAAGGAGGCCGGGAGATGCTACTGCTGTTTATGCTTCAACAGAGAAAGCTGAAAGGGAACTCGGGTGGAAGTAAGTAGATTTCATCTCTTCTTTTATGCAAATGCAAAACATTCTTTATGATCCTTCAAGATGATGACTGGCGCCGCATAGTTTTTCTTCCTTGCTAATTTTATATCTTCGGTTTCAGGGCAAAATACGGAATAGAAGAGATGTGCAGGGACCAATGGAAGTGGGCGATAAACAATCCACGAGGTTACCAGTCCAAGTATTGAATGGAATTGTATATAATGCGCACGGAAGTTTGTCTAAGTGACTTACCTCCCACTGCCTTGAGAAATAAAACTGTATTATTTGATGTCCTGCTAGATATGTTCATCTAGTAAAGTGTTTTTCCTTTATTTATCTTTTCCATTTAAAAGAAATGTAATTGGGCCACATCATGGGAATAAATTCCTTTTCTGGCAAGTATATATAAATATCGAAAAAAGAATTATGCCATGCATGTTGTGTGGTAACAAATTGAAGCATAAACTTGCGTTTGCTTCTAGAAATGTTTACTTGGGTCTTGGAATTAGGCTGTCTGGAATTTTCTTAGAATAAACGTATCCAAATTGTCGGAGGAATTTGACCAGTTTTCAGGATGTGATAATTTTCTTAGCACAGAGACGTGAGGGTTTGTAGTTTTAAGCAGCTAAGCAATGGGGGCAAATATTAAAAAGGCTTTGATTGAGAGAGAGAGAGAGAGAGAGAGAGAGCTGGCTACTAGAAGAACCCACGAATTGATAAAGTTTCAACGGGAAGTTTACAGGGCAACCTGCAATAATTTTCAATGAAAGGGGGAAAACATAAAAAAGAAGAAAATTTGTACAGAATAATTCCATATAAAAGAGAGACGATACCTTTAACATGTTGTGCATTTCAGTGGCAGCATCGGACTGGTCCTCCTTAAATTAAGTGGAAGTTGGATGCGAAATGGGGGAAGATTTTCGAATGTCATACCGTATCCACTCATGTCCGCTCATATCTTTATATATGTATCGTTCACATGTAGCATAACAAGTGAATTAGTAACATATGATAACGATTTTACTATCACACCCAAGTATTAGAAAAATATATTTCATTTTAGAATTTGGTACGTGTTACACTATCTGTCCATTGAATTCTTCTAAAGCTTCCTAGGATCTACCAAGGCAGTAACACCAACAATCAATTTCAATTAACTTTCTGTTATAAATTGCAGGTCACTTGAAACGTTATGAGATATTTAGTCATACACCCATTCTTCGCACTAAAACTATAAATAAATCCTTCACCATTTAATTTATATAAACAAACCCAAAAAATAACAGCTGACCCTATTGAATTTAATTTTGATTATTAAATTAATTTGATACCCTATTGAGTGTTTTGAGTTTTTTTATGAGGTTTTGGGTTGAGTTTGTTTTAAGAAATCATTGGCGGTTTTGTAATTTAAAAAATGCCTTTTTGTTATGTTATAAATGTGTTTTGGGTGTGTTTCTAAAGTCCATTTCATATATGATATTTTTATAATTTAAGTTCTTATATTGGGTATAATAGTGAATCTCCCAAAAGTTAATCAGCTTGGGTTTGAGCATCCTAACCTACAAATCATTCAGAACAAACCATTTCTTGATCATTTTGGATTTTCACCATATAAGGGATTCTGTTGAAGGCATTATTTATGCTGCTCATGGGTCATGCTGAAGCCCTAAGAAGTGCTTTAAATTGAAGTAATTTATAGTCAAAATCATTCTGCTGATCTTGGGAGATGAGGATCAGTTGAAGATAAGGCTGGTGATGTGGATCAAGATGGAGCTTCTAGAACTTATTGTTTTTTTCCATTTTGATTGTTTGTTTCAGCTTTTTTGTTGTTTTCTGTGTTGTTCAGTTACTATGAAACTCTTTGCAACATTCATGGTGCTGATGATTGAGATTCTGCAAAAAAATAGACATAGAGGAAGATCACGTGTGAGAGTTGCCCCTCAAAAGCCAGCTCCTTTCAATCTGGACAACCTCAAGTGGTCAAACCCTTTGGGCTAGCCAAGTGGCTAGGGTTCGTGAAAAAATAGTTAAGATTAAGATAAGCGATAATGCAGTATAACTAACAAAAAATCAAATGATAAAAGGCTTGTACTTCAAGTGATTAAAGGTAGTTACCCATACATTTGTGGTCACTTGTTCGAGTTCCCCTCTCTAATATTACTTTGTATCAACTAAAGAGAAAAGCTCGGATGCTTTACCATACTGTAAAGTAATTGGTGTAAAGGTTGTAATGCTGATCATCGAAATCTCTTATAGTTTGTTTGGACAGTTTAATTATTAATTTTGTTTTGGAGTCTATGTTTGATCGTGTTGTGTGAATGCTCTTCGAATTATTTGTACTTCAAAGAGTCGCAAAAAGACACCCATAAAAAATAATTCTGGGTCCCCCTTTCTCACAGATTTTTCCATTGCAATCTTCGTAATGTACCTGTCACAAGGTGTTTTAGTCTTATTTGAGAACATGTCAATTCATTAAGTCCAATAACAACTTCTACATGCATCTGTTTTGGACTGCTCTGGACTGGACATACAAAGTTCAACCTTTCAAACTGAAATGTCCACAAATTAATATTCCCTACCTCCAAAGGCATCCACAGACCTAACTTCATTAAGGCTCAGGAGCAGCACTAGGTAGAAAACAGCTAACAACCAAGGAGTGTTTTGCCTCCATAGGATAGCATGGAAAGACTTTTTTGCGCGAATTAATCTTTTAAATTTATAACATGTGTATTAATTCGTAATTGAGTGAGGATGAATTAATTGAGAAGGATTTGAATTGAGGATGAGTAGAATCCGAACTTGCGTAAACTTATGGCATGTTAATTGATAATTTTAGTACAGTTATTTTATTATTATTATAATGATTTCCGTTTGTCAATTTGGACTAGAATTGCCAACCTTCCAAAAGCAATGGATGCAAATTGTCAAAATAAAGAAATCAGGGACCAACATGAAAAACTAAACGAGTTACGGGGAGCAAAACGTAAATTGGGCAAAAAATAATAATAAAATAATAGAAAATGAAGGAATAGGAGAAGCTTCTGGAAAAGACGTTAGAAGAAAAACCTACTAATTCTCTCTCTTAGCCCCTACTTCTCGCGCCTTCCTATCCGTTGTTTAATCACTCCCTCTTGTCCGTGGGCCCCCACAGTTTTTGCCCTTTTCCAATCTCCTTTTCCTTAAAAAAATAAAACAATTACTTTCTCTCTTTCCTTCTCGAACCCACGAATTCCCTTTTTCCGTCTCGCTCCTATCATTTACTCCACCCGCCCGAGAACCTTCTAGAAACAACAAAAAGAGCAGGGAAATTCTCCCCGCCTCTCTCTCTCTCTCTCGGCGCTGCTGCGGCTTCTTCTGGTTAAGCCTTGGTACAACAGACCAAGAACTGTTCTGGATAGAGTTAGCTTTCGTGTAGGAAACGAACTTTCTTTTCCAGTTTTCGGTTTGGTTGGTGGGAAAATCCCTACACTTTGTTCATCCCAAAGCCTCACTTTCCAGGTACATACGTTTCCTTTAATTTAATTTTTTTTTTTTTCTGAAGCTGTAGACATTTCATACATGAAATTAAATAGAATTTTCCTTTCTTCAATTTTTATTTATTTTTAATTGCTCCACGGTTTCTCTGCAACCAAATGAAACGTTAAATCATTTTAATTTATTTGTTATATTGAACAACAGTTACTTATTTGATAAATCAGTTGCTATTAGAGCTCGGATCTGAGAAGCCGAAGGCCTAGAGGCCATGGCGTCGTTGCAGGCCGACCAGAACGGCGACTCCGGCCCCGTTAACGGCGCTGGAGGAGGTGGAGACTCACAAAGGACGCTTCCGACGCCGTTTTTGACCAAAACGTATCAGCTGGTGGACGATCCGTCCGTCGACGATTTGATCTCGTGGAGCGAAGACGGATCGGCCTTCATAGTCTGGCGACCCGCCGAATTCGCCAGAGATTTGCTCCCCAAGTATTTCAAGCATAACAACTTCTCCAGCTTCGTCCGCCAGCTCAACACTTACGTAAGCCCTCTCTGTTTCCCTCACTTTCCTCCTCTTTCTCGGCAGCCAAACAAGCTTAAGCACGTAAATGTTCTATTTTCTAATCGATTTCTATTGTACTTACAGGGATTTCGGAAAGTTGTGCCGGATCGGTGGGAGTTCGCGAACGATTGCTTCAAAAGAGGTGAGAAAGGCCTCCTACGGGAGATTCAGCGCCGGAAAATCTCGCCGTCGGTGTCGGCGTCGCCTGCGGCGATTACCGCGACGTTGGCGACGGTGTCTGCGGTGGCTCCCGGGGTATCTCCGTCGAACTCCGGCGACGAGCAAGTGATCTCGTCGAACTCGTCGCCGGTGGCGCCTCCGGCTACGATGTTGAGCCGAATCCGGAGCTGCACCACGACGTCGGACGTTCTGGAAGAGAACGAGCGGCTCAGGAAAGAGAACATGCAGCTAAGTCACGAGCTGACTCAGCTGCGCGGCTTGTGTAACAATATATTGGCATTGATGACGAACTACGCTTCTGGTCAGTTGGAGGGCGGCGGCGGTGGCGGTGGCGGTGGGAGTGTAATGGATGAGGGTAAGCCTCTGGAGCTGTCGCCGGTGAAGGAGGCTGAGCCGTCTGAAAACGGCGTCGTTCGCGAGGGGTCTAAGGCGGAGGCTTCGGCGGAGGAAGAGGAAGACGAGGAGGAGATGAGGCCGAGGCTGTTTGGGGTGTCGATTGGGGTGAAGCGCGTGCGGAGAGACGAGGAGGAAGAGGAGCAGCATCGGGAAGGGTCTGAGGCGATGAAATCAGAGCCGTCAGATGGGAGTTCGAAGCGCGACCAGGACTCCACGTGGCTGGAGCTCGGAAAGTGACGGACTTGATCGGATGACGATGGTGATTATGATTTGTTTTTCCGGATAATGGAAGAGTGGACGGCACCGCACGAGGAGAAAAGTGCGCACGTGCGAGTCAAATGACTGATAGCGCCACGTCGTTTGTGAAAAGAATTGATCAGATTTTCTAGTGTGTTCTGGAAACTGCGAAACGACGCCGTGCGTTGTAGTTTGGGCGCGGATGAAATTTTTCCTTAATCCATGAAGCGCCAGAAGAGTTAGGCGGGAACAGTCAAAATTGTGAGCCCGCTTGTATAAATTAATTCCTTAAAAATTTTATCCATGAATTGTTGTTTGTTGTTTCAAAGCAGACGGGCAAACAGAAACACGCCACATTTGACTAATGTGGTGAATGTATGTTAGTGATAATTTAGCTAATTTCAAGATTAGCATGATTTCGTTGGTTTTCATTTTGCTACTTTGCTAGTGTCCAATCAACGTTGTCCGTTCCTTGCACCTGAATTTGACCCCCCGGTTCCTTGCACCTGATTTCGATCTCCCAGTTCGATCCCTTCTTCGTATAATCTAGAATGCCGCTTTGTAAAACAAAAAAA